AGGATAAAACAGGTATGTTGTGGGCTTTTGGTCTGCACGCTTCTTTGGAATGATGCACACACTCAGTCCTTTTACTCTGAGGCTGCTGGGAATTGTCTATGGCTTGTATTTATTTGCAGAGCATAATGCAGAGGTGACAAGACTTCAAATTACTGTTGCTGCAGAATTATCGTCTAGTTGGGAAATTAGAATTTACTTACAAATTTTAGATGTCTCTGCGGACTGTAATCTAGATTTCTGAAATCTACATGGAATGCTGAAACTTTAATTCTTGCATCTTGTGCACAATTTAAACCAATTTGGTTTGTCTTTCACAGTGTGATCCGTGTTTGCATATATTATGACAGTAGAAAATGCTTACTCATTGCAAGTATGAGTTGCAGTTATGTGTCCTCATGTTGGTGCTTTTAATTGTACTTATCAATTCTGGTTTCCACTATAGTAATCTTATATTTTTTACATTTTTTACTGCGGTAAGCCATCCAGATTACTGAAAAAGCAGAGTCAGTCCATAAATTAAATAATGATAACGATAACAATATTAATGTTGGCCTCACCCCCATCACCCTGAACTATACATGCCTCCCTTTCTCAAGACGCCTCTATGTCCTTGATGATAAATGGACGGATGGATGGATGGATGGATGACAGACAGACAGACAGACAGACAGAATTCTAAAAGAGCATATGCAGAATACCAGATCTAATATTCTGCTGCACAGAATATGATGGAGGAAATTTAGGGTTGGAATCATTTTATCTATTCCCATCCCTTTTACATATGGCCATGCCAAGTGGGAACTGCAGGAGTAGAAGCTTACTACCCCAAGCTGATGCCTTTTAATGAAGGTAACTCTAAATTTGGGGGGAAGAGCAAGGCAAAAGTCTTTCCTGAACTTTCCCCACCCATACTCCTTTTGAAAGATATACCTTTGAGTCAAAGCATTCCCTTTTGTGTTCATCTGCACAGCACTCTGCCTGGAGGAGATGGAAACCGATGGTTGCATTTGCCAGCTGATTGTCTGAGATGTGAGGCAAAAATTCGATCAAGTCGATAAGCAAGCTGTAAGGCAAACAATAACTGTGAACAACTCAGTTGAAGGAAAGTGCCCCCACATCTTCACCCTCTTGGGGATCCCAGGAACTGAGGAAAATATATAAATTCAGGGATATACAGAATCTTTTCCCCCCTCAATATAACCTTTCTTAGTACAAGCTCCCCATTGTGAAACATGAAATTTTAGCAGAAGAAAATATGGAAAGAGGATGAAGGCAAATGCTGGAACACATATTTCCGTTACTCTGCCACCTCCTTGGCTATTTACAATTCTATTTTTTTCTTAAGACTAATTGTAACTGAATGGTTCTAAAATTAAAAATTGGACACTAGCCTATTTTTGGTGAATTTTTCAAAATTATTGTTCTTCTCATGAAAAAAAAAAAGCATGTTTCATTAAATTGGGTGGAAATGGTTGGGGAAAAATTACCAAAGGCATTTTAAGAATTGTTGGGTAGTTTGTAGGTCTAAGTTGCTCATCTGATTTTATCCTTCAACAGAAAAGCAGATACCTGGGGAAATAAAGAAGGGAAGGACAAGCCAGAGGCAAGGGAAGAAAGGAAAGGAGATTGATATGGGAGGTGACTAAACAAAAGTGTGTACAGAATACAGGAGGATGTGCTCAGCAGCTGCGGAATTAAGGCAGAATGAAGGAGATATATGTGTGATGTCATAGGTTGGATGTGAAATCTGTAACAAAATGTCAGGTGAAAGGAGTTAGCTTACTTACCCTTGTTTACTTTCCTGCACAATGTGTTCGTCAGTTGAGCACAAAACCTCAGGGTGATCCATTACATGAGGTTTGAATGTAGCAGGAGGGACATAGTCTGGATCTGGTCCTAAGTGAGTGATACATTCCCAACGTTTGATGAAGGGGGAATCACAGCAATGGCAAACCTGTTTGTTTATGTGATGCTCTTTATGATACTGGCATATAGATCCTATCGCTTTATCCGTCTGAGAGAGAAGAGAGAGAGATAGAGAAAAATTCCAATGAAGTTCTACATTTACATGATGTGACCACGATATCTATTAGATATACACTATACAAATAACATGTCAAGTGTTAGCCTTTAAGTGATGCTAAAAGGTTTCATGAAAGGGAGGTCAAAAGCAGTTCTGATGAAATTAATACTGTTTTCTCTGAAGGTTAAAAATCACACACCTTCTTCCCCAGGACTCAAATTTCATTGAGATATAACATAGACAACTGCTGATAGCATCTGATTCAAATTATCTGTCTGTCTGTCTGTCTATCCATCCCTTCCACCCCTCCCTCCACCCATCCCCAGATAGTAACAAGAAGCAAAATCAGATCTACTGTGTTGTTTTAGGAAATTGCCTTGCAGAAATATTAAGATTTACATCCTTCTGATTATTTTTTGGTAGCAGGAGATTTTAAGGAAAAAATAAGTGAACATGATTATACTTTTTATACCCCTTAATATTGGCCTATAGGAAACACTGATGAAGTATAGTCTATTAGTAACAGGAAATCTAAAGATGCATTGTGCAATCAAGGTTGAC